TACAAACAGACTCAGTTCACTGCACAAACATCTTATGGTATTTTGTGGGGTTATTCATTAAATCGCAGCTAAATGAGGAAATCTAAAATATAGCAGCGGGCAATATGAATATTGTGTGTGGATGTTCAGGAATTATATCAGCAAGCACACGATGCTCTGCAGTTTATTGCAAAGAAAGACATCAGTCCCCCACATACACCCACCCAAAAGCCAAATGTCATAGTGAGCCCACACCACACCAGCATTTTCCAATAGTTGAAACAGAAACATAAGGCCTAATTTAAGTTCATTAGACTGAATCAAAGTAAAAGTCTGTGTCAATTATCTAATGAGCAGATTCCACCCACACCCCAGTCACATTAAAAATGCATATAGATTCTCTGGATTATAATGATTATTGTTTGCAACACATGTTAACCAAAGAAAATATAGCAGAAGGCAAGAAAAGACCCTTAATGAACAGACCCAGCAGAAACAGATCTGGAAAAACAGGTTTATATAACCAGCTTCTGAAAGTGTAACTCAATTTGTAAGAGGAATACCTGCAAAAGTTTGTGGTGGTGCAAAGTTGGTCTATATATCATGTAACATATATACAGATACTAAAATTATATTATGTACGTCTTATTTCAAATCTAAAATAGTTAGACATGCTTTTGAAGTTGGTAAATGAAAAGCCATATATCAGTTTGCTGGAAGGCTTATTGAAGGCAGGTTAGGTAAAGTAGCATATTTGCATTTTCTCATTGATTCTGTGTCTCCAGTCTAACATGGTGAAGCTTGAATGATGCTACCAAAACTCAAAATGAGTTTCCGGTAATAGCTTCCATCCAGCAAGTTTTTAATTCTGGAATGTATTATGAGCCCTGACATTGATCTAATGAACTTTAAGATTTTGTAACTGATTCAAGAATTAATTTGCATTTCCTGCACCTGTGTGGTCTGCGTGGTCAGTATGACTAAGAATCCGAACTCAACCATCTCTGAGCATCCTCAGCCGTTTGTTGCTAGAATCCTTTGTCTGAAGGAAATTAAAATGCCCTGCTTGCAATGCACATGTGCATGGAATGATTTTGCCTTCACCCAGCATTAGTCAGACTGGTGTCCTCCAGATGTGTCAGACTACAATTTCAATCAGCCCCAGCCAACATGGCTGCTAAATGGACCCATTAGCACCCAGTTTATCCCAGTTCTACATGTGGATGGGACATTCCTGTGCAGATTTTAAAGGTGAAATTCTTTTTTTAAAAAAAAATTGCATGGAAACACAACAGTTAATAAAAGACAAAGAAAAGAAAGAAAAGGACTTATGAAGTTATATGAGGGATACCTCCATTTCTCTAAAATAGCTTTCTTTAAAAATTAAAATAAAAAGAGGCAATTCAATTGCCCACAGTCTGGAGTAGCACTTTAGTCTGCTTCCATAGCCACTGCCTGTGGCTCCTACTTCAGGTCATTTTATGATGCTAAACAATGCCCATGTGATAACTGCCAAAAAACAGGGAAGGAAGCATTGCGACACAGGAAGTCATACTGCATGGGGGAAAACAGAACACCATACTATGTGCGCCACATTCCCAAGATGCACTTTGGTGCTTGTGATACCAAATGGCATCCTTTACCTTTGCTGTCATCTAAAAGCCCTAGTTATGTTTCACTACTTGCCCTTGGAATGTCGCTGGAAGAAATGTACACAGGAAAGAAAGCAACTTCTTGAACTTATTGCTCCACAATTCTCTGTTTGATTGCTCAACTTCGGGGAGCCATTTTGTTATGGATTCAGAAACCAGCTATCAGAACATGTCAAACGATAAAAAATTGAATTTTGACTTGGACATTTGAATTCTGCGCTGAATATTTGTAGAGAAGCTTTGACTGTGCTTATGGGAGAGAGTTCTCGTTGCAAAGTCAGAGAATTGGAAGGAAATGTGGAGAGGGCAAGGGGTGGAAACTCATTTCAGAGCCCTTCCTCTGCCCCCCAAATGCACAGAGGGCAGGGGAGGACTGCCCATCGCGGCCCTTTCCTTCCTCTTGTGCAATGATAATGATATGGGGGGGGGGGGCGGATGCTTCTACAGGGCTATAGTGAAGTCCCATTTCCATAAATGCAATACCTAGCAAGATCTACACTCTGCCTTTCTACCATCAATTATCTCTGCAGTGACTTATTACCCTTATCGTACTTATCCTAACAACAAGCCCAGTGATAAGGATGATGGATGCGGAGGGCTGCGTAAAAAACACTAAGTTTCATTCTTTGCTTCCTCTCTCTCTCAGATTGCTCATCGGGCTCAGATAAATGCCTTACCAAATATGTGACACATGGTCAGAGAGGCTTAATATGAAAACAAAGTAACATCACAAGCAGTTCCCGTTTCATTTCAGGATCATATGTCGGACAGTTTTCCCTTTTTCCATGAGCTGTTGCGTTTTGGTAGGAAATGAACTGTTTGTGACCTGCTGTTCCAGCACACTGATATGAGGAAACCTTGCTGTCAACAGACAGACTCTTTTAGAGATTGTGGGGGTGGAGGGTGGGGAAATGGCAGTTATTCTGCTTCACCCAAATAAATATTTTGTAATTCTGAAGCACACAGAAACTGCATCCAGAACTTCAGACCCTTCGCAGAAATGTACTGTGCTTTGAAGTACTTTTTATTATTAAAACAACCAACTTCTACTTTAAGAACGTGGTATGCTTTGAATGTTTGAAAAGCAATTGTCACATTGCAATGAATGTGAGAAGAAAAAGCACAGACCACCCGAGCCCAATTCTTTATGTGGACATTTAATCTCTTTTCCTCCAACATCAAAGCTGGGGGGGGGGGGGTCCTGACATCCAATTGGATTTCCCCATGTGACATTTCAAGTTTGTTTTCTCTTCCCCTCCCCCCGCCTTTCATTTAACCTAATTAATGCTGGATTATTAAGGAATATGCTTCCCTCCTTATGAAGTGGAGCTACCCTTTCAGCTGTATATTTTTTTTACTGGTTTTAGGCAGATGGGCTTTTCCTCCCTTTTGCGGCTCTGCTTAACAAGTGGAGCAAACCTCACCTCTTAACTTGGGAAACCGAAGGATTTAAAACAATACCCCCCCCAGCAGATTTCTAAGACCTGCTGGAAGAAATAGCAAGCTCCCAAATTGTCACAGCGGGACGCGGGTGGGGCTGTGGTCTAAACCACTGAGCCTCTTGGACTTGCCGATCAGAAGGTCGGCTGTTCGAATCCCCATGACGGGGTGAGCTCCTGTTGCTCGGTCCCTGCTCCTGCCAACCTAGCAGTCTGAAAGCACATCAAAGTGCAAGTAGATAAATAGGTACCGCTCCAGCGGGAAGGTAAACGGCGTTTCCGTGCGCTGCTCTGGTTTGCCAGAAGCAGCTTAGTCATGCTGGCCACATGACCCAGAAAAACTGTGATCAAACACTGGCTCCCTCGGCCTGTAAAGCGAGATGAGCGCCACAACCCCAGAGTCATTCACGACTGGACTTAACTGTCAGGGGTCCTTTACCTTTAAATTGTCACAGGTTTCTTATCTCTCATATATGGATAAACTCAGAGGTTGGCTTCCACATGTAGCACCAAAGGCCATTTTGTTCATATTTAGGTGTACACCTAGGATGACTTAAGTGTACATGTACCATGCGAATGAGGGAGACACATTTTTTTACCACACAGGAACATGCAACAGGGCCTTTTCTGTAGCAGCCCCTTTTATGGAATGCTTTCCCCAGGGAAGCCTGCCTGGCACCAACTTTGCCAATGTTTTCGCACCATGCAAAACAGTTTTTGTTTTACTGGGCATTCAGGCAACACCAGTGATGTGATATGACCACTGGTGGAGGAACAGGGGTGTGGGGGGAGCGCACCACCCCTGGCGGCACAATCCTGGTGGGGTGCCATGGCAGCTGCCCCACCCCCCCGTGCTGGGTGCCACGCTCCTGCAGGCGTCGTGCCATGCCCCCAGGATGCACGCCACGCCCCGGGGCATGGGCCAGCCACGCCCACGCCTGCTCTCCTCCCCCCCAAGCTTGAAGCTCTGCCACTGGATATGATATTGTACTGTTAAATCTGTTTTTCATGTGGTTTTATTATTGTATATATGCCTTTTCTTTGGTTGTAAATCACTTTGGGACTTGTTCCAGCAGGAAGTAGTGTACTGGTTTTGTAAACCTAAATCTGGGGCGCTAGGATTGTCTCCCTACAGAGTGTATATCTTGTTGCAAATCTGGGTTGGATGGATGAAGGCATTAGAGGGTCCCTCGTGCTTTGTCTGCCATGAATGTAAGGCTAATGAAGATAAGCACACAGTCCTTGTAATTCAGGTTTTATATTTACTTTAGGAACTGAATTAATCCAAGCCTGCTTAAGCCTAATAAATGAAAACAATCTAATATATGGTGCTTGAGTGGGATGGGGCAGAGATTCCATTTCTGTATATGAGTTCACTTGATCAAGTAATCTCAATATAATATGTAATTTCATAATAATATGATACAGTAAAATAAAATATCCACATTGCAAGAGGTAAGTTACTCCCATTTCACAGATGAAACCAATTGAGGAAGGACAAGATATATAAATATTTATCACAATAAATAGGCAGACAATGCTCCACACAGACACTTATTGTATCACTAATCCAATATCTGAAGCTGGGGCATCATATGCAAGGGCAGTTAGGTATATGATTCCCCCTCATATATAAGCTATGCTGTTCCCTTCCAGGTTAAAGGATACTCAGACGGTGCAATTGGGATATGTCTAGGGAGCAGCCTTTGATGTTGAAGAGCCTTGTTACTACAGATCTCCATGTATGCATCAGAGCATCACTCTGCTTTGGGTTGCGAACTCATATTTTTATTTAACTACATGAATATCCTGCTTGACTGTAGTAACACCTCTAAGCAGTTTACAATAAATATTAAAATTATCAATAAAAACAGTTAAAAACAATTAAAATATTTAAAGATAATTAAAATTAACAGCAATTTATTTTTTTGAAGCACACCAATATGTACATGTCTCATTAGGCCTGCCTAAACAAAAAAATGCTTTTAAGTGAAAAGAGTACAGCAAAGATGTCTGCCTAGTAGAAGAGGAAGAAGAGTTTGGATTTGATATCCCGCTTTATCACCACCCGAAGGAGTCTCAAAGTGGCTAACATTCTCCTTTCCCTTCCTTCCCCACAACAAACACTCTGTGAGGTGAGTGGGGCTGAGAGACTTCAGAGAAGTGTGACTGGCCCAAGGTCACCCAGCAGCTGCATGTGGAGGAGCGGAGACGTGAATCCGGTTCCCCAGATTACGAGTCTACCGCTCTTAACCACTACACCACACTGGCTCTCCTAGTGTCAATAGACAGGGAGTTCTAAAGTGTAGGTGCTGCCAGACTAGAGGACGGATCTCCCCCAAAGTGGCACCTGTAACATTGCCGGTTCTGCAGACTGAAGCCACTGAGCGGGCACATCCATTTTCGTCCATTGGACGTTGTCCATTGCTAGATTTTTAAATGAAGGCAGCCATGAACATAACACGATATGACTTCAGTGGAGGCCTGATGTAAAACATTATGATGTGCTGCATATTCAGGAGTGGAAAAAACATTCTGGAAATTGATGAGGGAAAAGGTCACTGGCACACCAGCAGAATCCCTCAAGGTTCCAACGGCTTTGCTAGGTGCATTTCTAAGTGCTGATGGAAATGCATTAATGACCATGTAAAGATGTGGTCAGATGCTGACCACCAGATCCAAAGCCCAGCTGCAAAATTATTGACAGCTATATTGCTTATTCCTGTTGCGGTTAGGAAATGAAATGCCTTTCTCTAATCAAGTAATTGCATTAAGGAACTACTGGGAACATTTGGTTGTTTTTCTTTAATATCTCAGAAGTCAAGAGTATTTCGTTTTTGCAAACTGTCAAGATCATTTTTGTTCACATGTATTTGGTGCTAAAGGAACATATTTTTCTTCTTTGCCTTTCCTCTCCATTAGCAAAAAGACACACAACGCAGAAACACATTTAAGTGGGAAGTTGGGGGGTATTTTGAAAAGTCAGCAAAGTATAACTTTAAAAGAAACAAACTAAACAATTGTGCTGTGAGATTAAAAACTGTAATGAAAGGCATGTCATCGCTAGCTTTCACATAACCAAATCGTCCATGATCCAGCCATTGCCAACGTTTATTGTTTGCCTCTGGTCATTAAGAGAAGTTCAGGTCTTAACATCTCTCTTTTAACAAATGACCCAAAACCTTTCATTTCACAGAACATGAAACAAAAATGCTGATGCAGAAAATCAATGGTGGTCTGACACTTGGGAAGAGTCACTTTCCAGTTTATGGTGCCATGGTATTCGTGAGGCTGAGCTTTGGTTTCACTTTCCCACTAGGCAACTAAGGCCCCTATAACACGGCATGGCAGTCACTTTGCTCCATTGAGTAGCAATCGAAAATATCATGCACATTGCAACCAGACCCACGACACACTTTTTGCATTACTTTCAGGCTTGTTACAAACACTGTGTTGGATGCAGGATGAATTTTAGTTACGAGAGAAATTCACTGCACACAGTCCAAACTAAAGATGGCTGCAGAAGATGGCCGCAGAATGTAGAAGGTGAGAGTGAAGTGGTTGGTGAAACGGTCTAATAACATATGTTCAGAGATTTGCCATGACCACCACAAACCAGAGGCAGACCAATGGTCCATTGAGCTCATTGTCTACACTAGCTGACAGCTGGGTTTCAGACAGGAGTCTTCCTCAGCAATGTATTTTCCAAGAAAAATATAGCCTTGCACAGCCTGAGAAAGGTTTCCTTCCATCTCTAACTCAATTTACTCATTTTTATTTTGTATTTATTTTGCATTTGGAACCGGTTTACGTCGCTTCATACCCATTCCAAAATACCACAAAAGACAGCCACACACTGTGCAACTATCTCATTTGAGGGATTCTGGAATTAAATCCATAGTTGTGTATTTGTAGCAATTGCAGCACAACTCTAAGGATATTTAAAAGGTAAAGGAACTCCTGACTGTTAAGTCCAGTCACGGACGACTCTGGGGTTGCGGCGCTCATCTCGCTTTACTGGCCGAGGGAGGCAGCATTTTGTCCACAGACAGCTTTCTGGGTCATGTGGCTAGCATGACTAAACCGCTTCTGGCGAACCAGAGCAGTGCACGGAAACGCCATTTAGCTTCCTGCCAGAGCGGTGCCTATTTATCTACTTGCACTTTGACATGCTTTCAGACTGCTAGGTTTGCAGGAGCAGGGACTGAACAACGGGAGCTTACGCCGTCGCAGGGATTCGAACCTTCTGATTGGCAAGCCCTAGGCTCTGTGGTTTAGACCACAGCTCCACCCGCGTCCCTCTAAGGATATTTACTCAGAAGTAAATTCCACCAAGTCTAACATTCTGACAGGTACCAGGTTTGTTGCGCCTGTTTTTTAAACTAACCCATCGCTACTCCTGCAAATAGAAGTCAGGAAGCCTTTCAATTTCCAGGTCACATCTGCTCATTTCAGGCTTGCGTTGTGTCTTTCTCCCTCTGAGGTTGCACTTGTCCTGTCTGGTTTATGCGCTTTCTTTAGTTCTTAGGGATGCATGCAGAAAGTACAATGAGAAATGTTTCTATGAATATCCTGGCAGCAGAGTTCAGAAATCACCCGCAACTCTTCCTTGGGATGACTAAAAGCTCAGCCATCTTAAATGAAATAACATTCAAGAGAAGAGTGCACCTGGGCATGTACAGAGGGCACATCCCTCACCACAAGTGAGTATAGACAACTTCGGGGATTTACCTTGCATGGTTTCTAGGCAAGCTTGAAACTGTAACCAGTGGGGGTGATAAAGAATTGTTTAGAGGGCAGCCTCTCTGGTCATGTTTCACATTGTTTATGTTTATGCTGATGAAAATATACTTTAATCGTTGATTCTTCTGGCCCCTAAGGCTCCTGGGGGTGAAATGCACAGCAGAAAAATGCAAGGGTGCAATTAGTTGAACATCAGCCATTAGTAAGGTAATTATAATGCAATAAAATAGATTGCTCTTACAGTTCAGGAATCCTGCTGAGCTTTCTGAGTGTTGAGCATGCCATAGCAGGCACCCTAATGATCAATTAAATCCCTATCATTTAGTTACTTCTTCCCAACGATCAGCTGCTTTGGTGACCTTTTCTGTGCTATATAGAAGCTTTTCTAATGCAATCACAGCAGAGCTGATGTGTCTCTTCTAGCGGCCACCCAGCATGATATACACCAGTACGACAGCCAAGATTTTAAAGAGCCTTTTTAGACTAAATAAATGAGAGATGGAGTGCATGGAATCGTCAATCACTTTGGAGACTCACTTCCTTTTTCAAAGCTAGTTCATTCTTCCTTTGAAGATTAGAGTATTATATTTTGGCTAAAATTTGGAAGCACGCATGGGGAAGAAAAGGAGCCAATAACGTGGGCCATTTGTGAATTATCTCATTTAAGTCATGACCATGAAAATGTTCCCGCAGTCTAGCAGTTGTTTTTGCTAGCACAGAAAAACAACTGGGCTGTTACTAAAAGTGACTCGCCCACTAGAATGGAGACGCAGGGTCTGTTTCTTCAGGATCTGATTCTTGCCGAAAAGGAAGTTCAGTTTTCATTTATCTCATGTGCCCTTTGAAGTACAATCCCCTGTCTTTGTTTAATGGTCTACAGTAGAGATTGTAAGTTGAAAATATTCCTGGTATCCAAGACAAGCCTACAATAAGCATTCACTTCCAAAATGCCCTTAGTACATTAGTGGATTTAATTTTGTGACACCTGACTACATACCTCACAATCATCATCAAACATTTCTATTGCACTTTATGTATGTAATTCAAATTACATTACTAATTTCATTCGTCTACACATCCAAGGCAGGCCACTGTGGATTTTATAAACAAGGAACTGAAGCTAGAAGAGAGTGACTGGGGCGATTTTCACTGTGCTGTTCTGCAACAGAACTGCACAAGCATAGGAGTTTTGATTCGTCATCTTTAGAAACTAATCATTCATGTTTTCTTTTTAAATAGAAATTTTACAGTCCTTATAGGAACAAAGAAATCTCACTGGTAATGCCTTGTGAAGCTATATAATTTATTTATTACATTTATATTCTGCCTCCCCTCTAAGGAGCTCAAAAGACAGCATACTCCATTCCCTTTCAAAACACTCCTGTTAGCTATGTAAGACTGAGAGGTGGTGGCTGGTCCCAAATCAACCAGTGAACTTCTCAGTTGAGCGAATATTTGGATCCAGATCTCACCAACCCTACTCCAACACTATAACCTCTACAACACTAGTTCCCAGAGAGGGCTGCATTTCTGTGCCATACATGGTTCCCAGTCCCTCTCGTGTTGAACGTAAGACTGAATGAATTATGCAAATGAATGCACATTTCCATAATTGGCACAGGTCACAGAAGATAGCTATTTTTGGTGTAGAATTTGAGTGACCTGTGTTCAGATTTGTGTGTGTGTGTGCGCGCGCCTTGAGGGCAATCTGTCTGAGACCAGTCAGAAAGTTCATGGCTCAAGTGGTATCGAAATCCAAGTTTCTCCAGGTCTAAGGATGCCTGTTTGGCTCAATCCACTCGGCTCACAAACACAGAGACTAACAGTGCAACATTAGCATCATAGCAGTGGAGTCATGGAAAGGGTTCTTATTTTAAAAAATAATCTCAGCAGGAATTCTAGAAGTAGACAATACTTAGAAGGCAGGGTCCACCTTTGAACTTTTCACTATGAACTTACTGTTGCTCATCAAGATCATCCAAGCAGGAAAAAAAGAAAAGAAAAGATGAAACAAGGACATATAGGAAAAGGAAATGAAAAGAGCTTTATTAGTCAGTTTCTTCTCCTGCCTGACCCAATTATCAGATTTTGCATTTAAATTTAAGACAGTAGATCAAACAGCTAGAGCCACTTTGTACTTTTGCCAGGAGACCATATGATATCTCTCAGTGACTCTCCTGCATGCCAGGATTCAGAATAAGAAGCCAGGCTTCCAACTTAGTTTGTTTTACGTTACATATGGTGCAATGTGCAAAGTGAACAGAGAGAGAGGGAGAGGGAGAGAGTGGGAGGGAGGGAGACTGAAAAGTCATCAATGGTTGCTCTCATGGAAGATGTCCAGGAATTATGGTCCAATTATCAATTAAGATGAATCAAGAAAAGGAAAAAGGAAATATTCATTATAAATTTCCACATAAGCTATAATGAAAGGCAGCCCAGTGACTGGGTTCATAATAACTTAGGGCGGGGGGGAAGGAAACAAATTGGCCAAAAAACTATTTTTGATCGGCATATTTGGAGCAGAAAATATTCTGGGTGTGTTGATTCCTCCCCCCAATTGCACAGTCTTTGCTAAGATTGGACTAATAAAAATATTTGACTAATGTTTGGGAAACATTAGTATTTAGTGGTTGAGCTCTGAAGTGCTTTTAGTATGGCGTGGGATTGCATGATGAATGAAATAGGAAATGCTCTTTTACAATCTCTTTCTAGTTACATTAATACAATCAATGCATTGGGGAAACCCCACATCCAGAAGAACTGAGAAGTTCCACCCTCTGTTCAGCAAACCTGGAAGTTCATTTTAAAAAACCCCAAAACACCACCATGAATGGCTTTCACTGCTTTCTGAACAATAACAGTCCCATTATTGTATGAATAATTGTAAAAATGATTCTGAACCAGCAGTTTCCTAATATGGGCTGGAAGAATTCTGGGACTAAAGGTCCCACAATGAGTGTTGAGAATATGGTGCTTGGGCTAATCCATCTTGGATTCTAGAGGTGGTACCTTTTATTCCACCAGTACAAAGTTGGGAACCAGTTTTCTAACACCTATTTCTATCTGTTCTAGACACAACCTTTAGTGAGTTCCATGGGACATGGTGGCTCAGTTCATGGATTAGTCTATGCAACATAGTTCTGTCCTTATGAAGTTCTCAGCAGAATTATTGCTAGCTCTGAGAGGACTCATCATCATCCCTTGAGGAGGAAAGTGGGAAGGGGTCTCTACACACAATCCTGAAACAGGAGTGGTGGTATGGTCAGAGCCAAGAGCTCTGGTCATGTTTGATGGTGTGCAGATGACCATGATCTTGCAAGGGGCATCAGAAGCACAGCCTCAAGTGATGAATGGTTTTCTCTCTCTCTACATAACACTCTTTTTCATGCACAAGACTGATTCCACATGAAGATAGACTTGAATCAGGATACCCAACCTAAACTTTTTTGCCTCTTTGCTGAAATTCAACATTTGCATTAAAAATATACCTACATTTAGAGCATAATCCTGTATAGAGGTTCAATGGGGTTTACTTCTGGATAAGCAGGTATAGGATCACAGTCTCAGTATATTAACCCACTTCAATCTGGTGCTACTATTGCTAGCAGGGAATTTGTTTATGGTTATCCTTACTTCACCTGATCCCAAATTGCTCTACTGCTTTCTCTCCCACCTGCTGTGCAGCGTCTCCACACTTTAACTTGAAGGAATGTTTTAGAGCAGTGTAACTGAAAACAATGGATGCCTTTTTGGATAATCCTTATAAAAATAAATATCTCAGCAGAAAAAGAAAAGTGCTATTATTTATCTCCACCATGTGTGATGGATGGATGCCATGGCATTTAGAATCCAGAAGGATCCCTCCCCGAAAGCTGGAGGAGAAAAGGGTTTGCCGTGTATCTATTGGGATGGCGCTGTGCTGCCAGGATCCCACAGAGAATATTGGCTGCCACATGGAGGAGTAGTTCAAGTTACTGAATTTCAGTATAGGTTGCAATCTTGGCCTTCAGTCCAATGCACAGCATGATTCACTTGTCTTTCCATATCATTCTCAACAGCCTTGGCAATGCTCTGCTTTTGGTAACAAGCCTTCAGCTCTTCTAGGAGTATTCCTTAGGAGGTAGACACAGTAATCTATTCATCAGTTGCAGATATTTTGGGTAAGTAGTCTCAGGTTAAGGAAACACAATATTTTAAAACAGGTCTTGAAATACAATTACAGAACTGGCCAATGCTCCCGAGTCATAAAAAGATAAAATGATAGCTACACTGTCTTAAGACACACGCATGACACGGTTATTACAGATGTCAATTTACTCTGCTACGAGACACCAAGAAAATGCAAAGAGCATTTGTACACATGCTCTGGAAAGTGTAACTGCTAAATGGTAGAGATAGAGGCTCCTGTCCAAAATCACATTTTGCTTCAGCCAAATGCTGTCTTCCAAGCCTACTCATAGTGTTCCAAAGGGAATAGTTTTCCCCTTGACTGGCAGAAATCTAGGCTTCCTCGTAGGAAGGATTTCCCTTCCAGAAATTGCAATTTTTTTAAAAAAGAGCAAAGAGAGATATCCGATGAGATTACTTCGTGCCAGAACATCTCTTTGTTCTACATTGCAGGCAATGTTTAGGCTGAAAATTAGCTACAAAAAATAAAAATGCAGAATCTGGATAATGGGCCTCTGACTTTATTTTGGCAAGGGCACAGTCTCCCAGTCCTTTCATCTTCTCTTACCCTTGCCTTTCTTTCCCTCTCCTTTTGCTGTTGCCTCTTGTTGCCCCCCCCCATTCCTTTAAATTTTAAAAAAAGAAATAAACAGTTTAGGTGGTGGTAGAGTGGAACCCAAGGTAGCTTAAGATGGAAACAAATCTTTTTTTCACTTTCTCACACACCCCAAAACCAGAAGCCACACTGCTCTGAGAAGGCTACTCACCAACTTGTGTCACCAACTTGTGTCATCTTTCTGTAAACTCAGTGGGAACAATTCCTGGCAGCTTGAGAAAGGCAGCACTGTGGTAAAGAGTGTAGACTGGCTAACCATGAGTGGCACCATGAGTTTATTCCCTCCAGAGAAGTTTTTCTGCTTAGAATTCATTTTACAAAAATAATACTTGCCCTACAAACAGTGCTTTAAATAAACACACAAATAATGCAAGCGGCCCATCTGAAACATCAGAGTGGAGGAGAGCAAAATGGAGGAGAAAATCAGCATTTGCTGTGGAGGCAGGTATGTGTGTCATTTAAAGAACAAGGGCAGAAAGACACACAGATCCCTGCTTTAATTGTGCATCTGTATTCTGTATTCTCAGGGCATGATTAAGTTGCCTGTCATGTTGCTCCTACTAGTAGGCAGGCCAACTCATCAAACCACAGTGGGCCCTTGAGGTTAAAACCAGAGGATTGAATGCTGACTCCTTAAGGCTGGGGTGCTGTGGGCACATTTGCAAACTGGAAAAGCTTTTGTAGGCACCATAGACACATCACAACCAAATCCCCACCACAACCTCTTTTATTGGCCACAACAGATGCTTCTTTCTACAGAGGGAGGGAACCCTGTGGGTGCCAGAGAAATCTCTGTGTGTACACTTGCACCCAGAGGCGCCACGACCGTAAATATTGCCTTTAAGCATACTGTATGTAAAACACAACCTTCCCTACCTTTAGGGTGTAGTATTGTGTTCTAAGCCAAGTACACAGAAAGCTCCTTGAATTCTGTGGCGGAGCTTAGCCCTGATTCACCACTCTGGCTCTGTTTTGGTCTGCCATGTAATTCCTGCATTCTTTGCCACTGTATGCAGCCAGAATGTATAAGCTCACACTACGCTGCTGAATGCAAATTCTTCAGATGTCTACTCAACCAGAAAAGCATCTCATCTACCCGCTGGGCACCCCCACCTTTCATGATGCTAAAATAATGGATTTTTAAAATACATTCCTGATATGATAGATTCCATTACATCTGTGATGGCAGTAACTGAAGCCAGACATGATGATCTGAGACAAAGTGGATTCAGGTGTAGTATGATGTTTACAAGACAGTCAAGACGTGCATTTTCAGGTCCATGTGAACCCATCAAGACTTCTGCAATTGATTTCAGTGAACAGTAAACAGTACAGTGACTTTGCAGACTGGTAATCCAGGGATTCATATGCTTAGAATGCCTTCTTCTTCTTCTTCTTCTTCCTCTTCTTTACAAAACAAAACTGTTGTTTTTGATTCTTGGAAAAGTCATAGCTAGATCTTAGAATACATGCTAATGGATTATCAACGTTATGGTCTGGGTCAGACCACTTCCTGGTTAAGCTTGGACTTTTGGTAGCTATCTTAACCTCCTCTGCAGGGATGGGAGACTGATGGAGGCGGTCTTCCCCAGAGATTTATGAATCCTGATGGATTCCTGAGTGCGCTGAGGGATTTCCCAGTGATCTTGTCAAAGCTCTCATAACATTGTAGAATTGCAAGATTTGGAGGGCTACTGACACAATTGCTCCTAGTGCCCTCTCCCGAGTGCTACAGAGTGTGTGACACTCCCTGGTATTTCAGGGAGCTGTGTGGGCAATGAAACAGGCTGGATAATGGCTGGAGAACGAGTGGCAGATAGCTTGCTCCAAGGTCAACCAAACACTAGGCAGAGTGCATATTTAATCCTACCATGTATTCCCATGAAAGTGTGGTTTATCAATGGGATAGCCCAGTTGGTTAGAGTGTGGTGCTGATAACATCAAGGTTGTAAGTTCAATCCCCATACGGGACAGCTGCATATTCCTGGATTGCACTGGGTTGGACTAGATGATACTCAGGGTCCCTTCCAACTCTACAATTCTATGATTATATTTAATCTTTGAAATGCAACCTAAGCAGTGCATCTTTGAACTTCAGCCCATGCAGACTAGTAAATTTAATTTTGTCTGTGCTGCTGACTGTCCCACAAACTTCTGGCAGTGAAAAGACCAGGTCAGACACAGTCAGATCTTTGTTCAGTGAATCACTCCCCAAAGATTTTTTTTTTTAATTATTCCATCCAGTTTAGTCTGCTCTGCAGCAGTGATGTGTGCCTTTATGGGAACAACACAAGTGTTTAACAAGTTACCAAGGAAGGGCTAGACATGCAAAAGATACAGCACACTGACATAGAAAGGGAGCGTGGGGATTAGGCCTCTGTGATGTGTGTGGCTAATGAAGTCACCATGCATTCTGCTTATTAGTTCCAAAGACAGCTGCTGGCTCCTGACATGCTGTCCCAAAGGAGAAAGCCCCAGAGAAGTGGGCGGGGGAGGAATCCAACCATTGTTAAACCAACCGAGGAAAGTTAAACCTCAGGAGTAGAAGGGAGGGTGGCATGCATCTTTGGTTCCAAATGAAAAATTGTGCGCTTTCATGTTAAAGGCAAATCCATTTTCATGGATAAAATAGGAATCCACGGTTTCACATAAAACACGCACGATAGTATCTGAGGTCACACTCGCAGAGTACCAAAAAGCAGTGCAACAAAGTCTTGAGTCTTGAGATTGCTTGTTTTAAATTAGGACGAGTCCTCGCGAAGCAGATGAGAATGGCTGACATCAGAGTTCCTTCCTGTTCTCTGCTTGGTTTTTATCCCAAGGCAATATAGGATGCAGCACCCCAACTGTGATAGCATCAGACTGAATTTCATTCAAAGTTCACTGCGCCCTGTCAGGCCAATATGGCAAAAGAAGTGTATCTGATTTCACAGGAGAGTTTTTGGATATAGCTCACTTTATATACTGATTTCCAACTTTGAAGTTTAGATGGGGTGGCCATGATGAGAGGGAAGTGGTTGTGCTGCCATTTGCTCCTATTCTCAATTCACTCACCCTCTTTTCAACTCTTGGGGAAGCCTTTGTGTCCCCCAAGGGTATATTTCAAGCCACCACAGAACCACCAAGGAACTGTAAGCTACTGTGTGTGACACTTAACATCCTTCTCCCATGATGCCAGTTTAGCTTAATCTGTTATTCTTCATCCTTAGATGTAAAACCATTTGCATGTCTTGTCCTTCCTTAGCCTTCTTCTCTTGTCTTTGTGGGATGCTTTGGTTCAATGTTCCAGCTTGCCAGCCAGCCAGCCATGTTCTTTTCCAGAATATTCCATTTCATCTCCCCCAATTTTCATGCAAAATTCTGCTTTGAAGGGTCCCCCCCCCAAGGGGATTTTATTTGTACTTTTGCTAACTTTATGCCTCCAAGTCTGCTGGTGCCCCTCTTTTGTTCATGGATGGTACTGTTTTGGCAGCATAAGACCCAGAACTCATAGGATGAGTTTGATATTAGTATATAGGATAATAGCGCTTTTTATTATATTCTGCATTATGGTACATTTCTATACTGCATATGGTGCCTTTAGAGTAGAGAGAACTCACATATTTTTCTGCTGCAATTAAATAAATGAATGAAGACATGAAATAAAAAAGAACATCAGTTCCTCTGTGGGCATAGACTGTGGAGCTATGTGCACAGGCAACACAGCAGGGAATGCAAAGCCAGGGTCTATGCATGCCTTCCCTCCCTGCTGTATGGTCAATGTACATCGTTCAGAGAGGAAGGTCTAAATGGGGATTTATTTCATTTCATATGACATTTATATTCTACCTTCCCTTCAAGGAGCTTGAGATGGAAACACAAAAAACTTTCATAAAATCTAATTCTTAAAAAAAGATGGCATACAGGTGACAACCATTTTAGGCATGTCCAATTGATATGCGATCGCTGATGTGTGGGTCCTTTTGGACCCAGAAGAAGGCAGAACGGGGTGGGGCAGGGTGTGGCGTGCTTATACACGGGTGGTGCTGTGGTCTAAACCACTGATCCTCTTGGGCTTGCCAATCAGAAGGTTGGCTGTTCGAATCCCAGCGGTGGGGTGAACTACCGTTGCTCTGTCCCAGCTCCTGCCAACCTAGCAGTTCAAAAGCACCCCAGTGCAAGTAGATAAATAGGTACTGCTGTGGTGGGAAGGTAAACAGAGTTTCTGTGCGCTCTGGTTTCCGTCACGGTGTTCCATTGTGCCAGAAGCGGTTTAGTCATGCTGGCCTCGTGACTCGGAAAGCTGTCTGTGGACAAACACCAGCTTTCTTGGCCTGAAGCGATATGAGTGCCGCAACCCATAGTCACCATAGTCCTGGGGTGCTTTACCTTTACCACGTGTAGTCCGCTGATGCGTGCGGGGGCCAGGATTGGAACCCATGTGTGAAATGATCAACGCCTGTACATGGTTTTTCCTTTTTTCATTTAATCCCTACAACAACCCCCTAAGGTGCATTAGGCTGAGAGGCAGTGACAGGCCCAAGGTCATGGCTGAGTGGGGATTTGAACCCTTGTCTCTCAGGTCCTAGTCCAACACTCTAACCACCACACCATGCTGGAGATGTACAAAGGCCTCCCATTCTACACTGTGAGTTGCCACCTAGGGTTGGTGGTCAGGAGTTAATGGGAATCCTCTCTATGTAGGCACAGTGCAGTGAGACTGTGGCCTAAGTCAGCAAACACATAAGACCATGTAAGTTAATTTCTGCATTGATAATGAGCCTTTGTATCTGATTTACAGAACTATCCTCACAATTAATCATGCACCTAGAGACTGACAAAACCACTGACACAGTATTTCTGCCGATGAACTGGGCTGCACTTGGCTGCCGGCAGGACAGCATCCTGATATGACATTCGCTTGGAAGGGCAGCCTTGCCAAGAAAACAAAAACCAAAAAAAAACTTTTCTTCTCATATGGCTTTTTAAACAGGAAAAGAAACCCTGACTCCACAAGTCTATAATGTAGCAGCACAAAAGATGGCTCATATTTTAAATCCCCAGGCAGAGAATAGCGGGAAGGCTTTGCTCAAATACTAGGAATTCAAAGGAGCAACGTTTGCACAATAAATGGCTCTCTTACAGGGAACACAGTGTGCAGAACATGTACAGGCATTTGGACAGAGAGAGAAAGTACCCCAACAGAAATGTAGTTGCCAGAGATTTCTGCCTATCAAGAATTGCCAACAATGTACAGCTATAGCCTGCAATAATAAAGGGGGATATGCTAAGCCACTCTAGTAAACTGTAGGATAAATTAGCATGGTTTGGGGATTACACCGCATATCCTATTAATGTAAAAAAAGAAGAAAAAAAGGACAAATGGGTCTTGACGCTGCAATATTTATTTACTTTACTATAACTATAGTTCAGTAGTGGTGCCTACGAATTGCTGTCCAGTAATGAAACCACTGGTATGTGAGGAAAGAGAACCTCTGAGAGCATGACCCAGATAGGTATATAGGAAGCTGCTATGCATCAGACCTCGGGTCCATCTAGTTCAGTATTGTCTACACTGACTGACTACATTGACTGATGCTTGATGTTTTTAATATGTTTTCAGATATGCTGTAAGCCACCTAGAGTGGCTGGGGAAATAATACTAATACTTACTACTACTACTACTACTACTACTACTACTACTACAGTTCTCCTACCTAAGACCTTTTGCATGCAAAACATGTGCTCTACTTAGATGGAATACCCTCCTGGCACCAGCATTCCTGCCATTCATTGGGATGGAATTCAATGATTGATTGAGAATTCCTTACTTCTTGTTGGTTTAGAAGCTCCGGTTATCTTCCAGAGCAATTTCATCAACATAAGTTTCCCTATTTATTTTACTGGTGGAACCAGCTCCACAGGGACAGAAACGGCATGTGAACAAACCTCCTTTCTTTGTCAACATAAACAAGCACGTGTCTCAGTTTCACATGTGTATTAGAATGTACATGGAACCCTGGAATGAGGTGAGGAACCAGAATCCCATCAGAATAAGTAGGGAGTTTTAAAGAACAGGGAGCACCAGCCAACATCAGCATCAACTTCCAAATGCCTTTCTAATGTTTCTAAATCCTCTGGGAATTTCTTCCACAGTTTTAAGGCAGTAGCAAAACACCTTGTTTTCTTCCCCACTCACACCTCTTTGTTGCTTCTTGAGCTATGAAGATGGTACCCTTCCCCTAGAATGAACTTAGGAAGCAATGGGACAAGTTCATACAGGGAAGGGTAGTCTCTGGGATATGCACTCCCTAGATCAGTGTTCCCCAACCTTGGGCCTCCAGCTGTTTTTGGACTCCACCTCCAATCATCCCTCGCTAGCAAGACCAGTGGTCAAGGATGATGGGAATTGTAGTCCAAAAACCGCTGGAGGCCCAAGGTTGGGGAACACTGCCCTAGATTATGAAGGACTTAAACCCAGCACTTTGAATTGAGCAGAAGCCCTTTTCTCTACAGCCATCAGTCACTACTCACAGTCATCCAGAGTAGGCTCATGTGAGCGCATTGCAGAAGTCTAGCCTTGATGAGCTCTTTTCCTTCATTATGCAAGCCTGTTATTACTTTGCCATCATAACTTCAGCCTTCTTAGGAGTCAGATGTGGCTCCAAACATTTGGAATTTTAATGTTAATGATTAAAAAAAGGACATAACCTTTCCCCCCTCTCTCTTTCTTCATTTTCCAACCAGCTCGAATTAATAAAATTCAAAGAGACTTTTGAGTGCTCTGTCTAGACTTCACAAAAATTAGGAATGCACCTTTTTAAAAATAAAATTAAAATGACTCTGAATTATTTGACTATCAGGAAGGAAACCAGAACGAGGTTTTAGTCACAGTTAGCACATCAGATGCTTACTCATAAAAGAAGCTAACATTTGGTAGTGCCTGAGGGAAACTAGATCACAATAAAATAATAATAATTTTGGGCATTGCAACTGTTTACAAAACACGTTCATGACATATATGCTCTTAAGACTGTTAATTTTGCAAATTTATAAATAATTTTCAAACTCTAGGAATGATACTGTATCTATGAACCATGAGATGAGGAGAGGTTTAACCTGAAGCTCACTGAAACCGATGTGGATTCAGTATTTGGTAGAGCAGGGATCAGCAACCTAAGGCCCATGGGCCGGAAGCAGCCCGTGGAGGTTGTTTGACCGGCCCACGAGCTGCCCCTGAACTGAGCTAACCTGCACAGCTCAGCGCAGGGACTTGTTTCTGTGGCACTGGATCTCTGTGGGACCGATCTGGCCCAGGCAAGATAAACCTTGCTGACCCCTGTGGTAGAGTGATATGGCCTGGCCAAACTCTGCATAGAATCATAGAATTGTATTGTTGGAAGGGACCACAAGAGTCATCTCGTTGGAAATGTGGGCTCGGAAGAGCACATCTTTGTTTGAGACTCTGTCCTGCCATGTGATGTCCATATGCACAGTGCATATAGAAGGCACTGAGGCACTGCTGCTGGCGGGTGTAAGTTGCCCACGATTCACTTCCATAAAGCAGTGAGCTCAGCACACAGTTCTAGTGCTTGAATAATTTCAACTGCTGGTGGTCCTAATCAGTTTGCTAGTTTGTTTGGGGGGGGGGAATAGTTAAAATGTGAGTGTATTTATTTTATACTGTTTTCAAAGTTTATGTAAACTGCCTTGGGAGGACAATGTGCTCTGGAAGACAAGCTATCAGTCAATGATGTATGAATAAGAACACGTAGATGGCCAAACAACCTGACCTGGTAAAAAGTAGTTTCCTATATTAGTAGTGTTGTCCTCATCAGAGTTATGAAGACAGGGCATGCAGTTAACAGAGGATGACAAAAAAACAAAAATGGGACTCCCATGGTGGTAAAAATATAACAATATGAATTAGGGCCGTCTTTAGCATATGCACCGTTGGGGTGCAAAGATCTGCCCAGCGCCCCCAAATTTAGTTTAGCCGCCCTTTGGGGTGGGGGGAGAACTCAAAGGTTGAGCTTTTTTTAGGGGGGGGGGAATCACTCACCTTTAACAATGATGAAGTGGAAAAAACTGCTTTTGTTTCCTGACTCATCAGGAATATTTGACGACAGAGCGACAGAGGAGGGGGGCAGGGACTTTCACTCCATTGCTTTTCACTGCCGCCGATTGAGAGGGACCAGTATATTACAGTGCATATACATTTGGCGCCCCCCAGAATTCGGCGCCTGGGTGCACCACACCCCTTGCATCCCAGGTAAAGACGGAACTGATATAAATCTCAGAATGCCAATTGCTATGAATCATAAGTGTTGACAGGGCTATTCCATTCCTGATTATCCTGCTTGAAGACTTCCCAAAGGCTTCTTCTTGGCCACTGGGAGAACAGGAGCCAAATAAGCTAAATAATAGGCAATGTGTTTCATTTGTACCCTAAAATTATCCAGATGAGACAAGTGACCTCCTCTTGGCTTAATAATTCAAAATATGAGAACTTATTGAAAAACAGGGGCCAGAATGATGAACCTTGAAGACACTAGATTGGTCCTATAGGAAACAATCCAAATATTTACTAAATTGTGGTTCAGCTAAATGGTTCTGTAAAATTGATGCTTAACTTATTCTTGTCCGCCCCCTTCCTGTAGATTTCTGCCCTCTGGGTTTAGTCAACAATGGATGTCCTGAAACACTGGGATCTCCCATTTCTGAATCAGCAGGAAGTGGGAGGGGGGGAGGAGACTCATGAAAAAAAATCTCATTCTCATGAAAAAATTCAGCCCTGTTTTGATGTCCTGTAAGCTCAGCACACTCTAGATAAGTAGCGTATCCATGCCAAATTTCAAATGTGCTGGAAGTTAATACATCACTTGCAGAGGATGCTTCTATTTAAAGACAGCTGTTTTACAACACGAAGGGGGTGGGGGTGGAGAGAGCTGCTTGTTTTTTCAGATCTGTCTGTGCAAAGGGAATGCATTTCTCATGATCTGAAAAACAGGAGCAAAATAGTCTACTTCTGTGGAACTTTTAGCATGCTATACATCACACTCCAGCAGTTGGTCAACACACCCCAAGAAGGGTGGGCCAGGAAGAACTGACAGTAAAAGAATGTATATGAAGTTAACTTTACAGTTTCTGGAATACAAAGGAGTTATTGGGAGCGTGTTGCAGAAGGCAAAGTACAGTATGCATGAATAAGATGAGCAAGGAAACAACTAGCCACAACCTTGGCAATGGATTCAACCACTCCTGGAGACTAATGTTTGCAATATCATAATTGGTCATTAGAACCAATTGTTGCTATAGGGCTACTACAATCCTGCTCTTTGTATGTTTGAATTCTAATGGTTTATTTGGCCTGTAAAAGCTATTACCTCTTCTAGACTGGTTATGTCTATAAATTGGGGTGCCCTGTAGATTACAAACACTAAGGCAGACCTCCAGGCTTTAAATGTGCACGACCAAATTTTGGATCTTTCGATGTTACAAGACAGCTGGTAGTGAAATCACCGATAGATGTGTAACTGAGTCAGAATGGAGCAGGGGGGTAACAGGAGACTCCCATGAGTGGGAAACATGGTACATTTCTATACAACTGTGCCAAATTTTCTGACTGCACATAGTTCAGTTGTGAGTTGCATTTCCATGATGGGTGAACATGAAGATGGAAAGCTGCCCATAAGGAACTAGTCATCCATCTCTCTCTTAAATAAAATAAAAATTGTGCAGTAGTGTCATTGTATGATATCACCGATTTGACAAATACTTGGTTACAAAGTAGTCGATTTCTCATTTGCTGCAGAGCAAAGGATATTACCTAATTCAGAAGGAGACTTCTCAGACACTCAACTCTAGTCATAGACTCCTTATGTATCCATTTTTCAAGCAGAACTCTGATGCTGTCTAAAAGGATCAACTCTAGCATTTGATGTGGATTAGCATTCTAGTATCTGGTGAAGTGCTTATAAGACATCCAACTATATCAGAATACCTTAGTGGGAGAGGGCATGTTTCACATGCTGAAGGTCAGAAGTCCAACCTCCAGCACCACCAGTTAAAAGGATCAGGTAGGGAGCGACGTGAAAGATCTTGCCTGAATTCCTGGAGAGCAGCTGCTAGTTGGAGTAGACCAAGTAGCCAATGTGGTGTCTTCCAGATGTTGGAGTACAACACTCACCACCACCTGAGGCTGATGGAAGTGGTAGTCCTTAAACATCTGGGGAGCATCACACCACCTACCCCTGGAGGAGGCAATACTGAGCTAGACAAACAAACAATCTGACCTGGTATAATCCTATGTTGTATCAGAATAGGCAAATGTGGAGATTCCTGTTCCAAGGGTAGAAGAAAGGTGGTCGAAAGCTGCTGAGGAGGCACATAGTGATTCAAGAACTATTGAATTGTCTTAAAGAACTCTAAGGACAGAATGAGGTGATACATTCAACATGGGATGCTGCCAAAAAATGTACCCCTGGGGTTAATGTTTCACACAAACACACAGAGTAATGTTTAGACACAGTTTCCTGCCTAGGCTAGGTGGAGTGAAACATCTAACATAGAGAGACAGATCTGCTTGCATGACAGTTACTGGGCAGCATTTGACAGGAGGATTTTTGTATGTGTGGTAACCCCATATCTTAGCTTGCCCTTAGATTATTTTTTTTACATCAGCCAACGGTGGTAGGTAAGCAGAATACAGTGTTCACTGTGTACCTGCTGGGATATATATACACACACACACTATATATAATATAATATAATATAATATAATATAATATAATATAATATAATATAATAATATAAATCTTCCTCCAAAAGGAGCCCAGAGCAGTAGAAAACTTATAATATAATCATTTACAACAGCAGGTAAAAACTACAAAATTCAAACAAGATAGCATAGCAGTACAATACCAGAACCACTAAACTCAGATCATGTTGTGATTGTACCATGTACCAAACTACTATGTCCTCTGTTGACATCTGAAAGTGAATGTTGCTGTGTTGTAGGTATTAGGGCTGGGTGATTGTTTAAGCACTTGGGTCCTAAATCATTTATGCCAAGCTTGAATTGCTTTGTCAACTATAGCATTGACTTTCCTATGCCAACCATAGTATTGACTTTTACTTAGGTGTTGCCTACTACATAATTAGTAAATAACACTAATTAGTAACAAACCAATAAAAAGTAGAGGGATTTTTATTGTGTGTGGTTTTTTTTTGTTAAATTTGATTATGTGCTGTCTATTCCCTCTCACATAGTGGGAATGCCTTCGAACAACAGAACTTACAGGTCCTGGAGCATTTTTTTCTTTT